TCCCCTCATCATCCCCTTTTCAGCAAATTCCTATCTTTCTCTTCCCATTTCCAAGATTTCTGCCAGGTACACACACTCTCTCTCTCTCTCTCTCTCGTTTCAATTTCAGTTTATATGACACTAAAATGTTCAATATTTTCAAGAATTGAAATTCATTTATCTTGTTAAAAGAAAATTCAAAATTTTAACTTTGTTGTGATGATTTCTCTTCCAATTAAGTAACTTTTAATCAAATACTTTAATGTTTTTCAATACGACTAATGTAATACAAACAATTAACATTTGATCTCCATATGTCGAACGTTATATAAGATGGAATAGAAGGGGCATATATGGGTGTGTGTGTGTGTGTGTAGAAAGATGATATTTGAGATTTTGCTTCGTATTTTATGTTGCAATGTGGCTACAGTAGAAATAAGTGTGCTATTAAACTTAGATATTTGTTGAATTAGGGTAGAATCAATTTAAGCAATGATGAATTTTGTTAAAGCTTCATACTTTATGCTCTAAATCTGAAGCTGGACAAATGTAGAAATTGGTAAGTTTGTTTCACTAGGTTTTGTTTAGTAGAATACCAACATCAGTTTACCATAAGTGTACATGAACACTTATAGAGCAACTTATCTGCTGTGACCAAGAAAGTTAAATTTGTTAGTAAGACGCCATAAATCTAGACTTTACACCTGAGGCCTTGAGTTAGCTTTGTAAAATAGTTAACAGTTTCCTCTCAAAGTCAAGATGGATGTATATCGGACGGCTTGATTCTGAATTAAGTTGCTGATATCTTTATTAAAGGTAGTTAGATACTTGAAATTGTGATACTTACTATAAAGCAAATCCAAGTGCTTGTCGCAAAAGATGATATCTGTTAAGATGTATAGAGGTGCTGTTCCTCAAGGGATTGTAAGGAATTACTTGTATAGAACGGTTAATATTCTCTCTAATTGTGAATGTTAGTACATTTCTTCACAAAAACTTCAGTTTGGCTATAGGAACTGAGAAGGAAATTTTGTGAAATGTGGATTCTCGCAGTGGTTTTGTTGGACATCTTCCTGCATTTCTCTATTGAATTCTTCTCAAAGTGAAAAAAGGTAATAATGACTAGAGCAGACTCTGTATGTTTCCAACTGTAAGAACTAAAAAAGCTTCAGACTATTGGGCCACTGGCTATATGCAACCACCTGTTTATAGTGTAAGTTGATTGCTTCTATGAGAATTGGTTAGCAGTTGGAGAGAACTTCTCGGAGAACTAAATTTGAGACTTGAAAAGAAAACAATGAAGGTTATCAGATTGATTATGTTGCTATGTGTCGTTTTGGTTGACTGGCAATATGTTGTGCTTTGATTTCGAAATGACTTCAAGATATGCTTTTGACTGGCCCTGTAATGAGTGGACAGGCTATTGGGTTGATATATTAATTGTTAACTAGGTAAAAAAATTGAAATTTTTTAGTTTACAAACTTCTATGCTGCCATTAAAAGCTCTAGAGAATGTATATTATAAGAAAAGGTGCACCTTTGGAATCTGATCCAGTTTCAACATGTGCCCTGCAGATATATTCTATTCTCATACTCGAATCAAGCTTCTGTTTGGTTACCTTAGTGTCAGCTATCATATTTTTTTCATTATGATCTAGTAAACGTTTATAATAAGATATGTTTCTTCTTTGTATGGTTCTATGTTCTTGTTTATAAGAAGCCTTGTGTCAAGTTCAGATCTTATGTTCTCCCTTATGTCTCTCTGTTGGAACCTCTCATTTGATTCCACCTTTCTCTGTCTCTGTGGTCCTGAGCCAATGCCTCCACCTTTAAATATCCTTTCTCAACCATTTAGCTTTCGCGCTTTCACAAAGTTCATCTATCTTGTCTGATACGGCACAATGCAATACGAGAAGATGGAATGGAATGTGATAGATGGTAGAGGGCTGCCCAAGATAAGGGATTAGTTGGTTAGGTCTGTTCGGTTCGGAACCAGCTGGTAATATACCTACTTACCTTGCTTGTAGACTTGCTGCAGAGCTAACTGATGTTGGTTTAGCACAGGCCTCTTATTATCTCAATATGTTAGTGTCCTTTTTCAAGTATAAGCATTCTCATGTAAACCTTCACCCTCAGCATCAGTCTACGTTCTTTAACTTAGATCCCATAAAGAAACACCCCTTAAAATTTTGTTGCGTTTCAACCTCCTAATTATAATGTGGACCAAAGGTGGTTAGCTTTGAGTATTGCTTCAAATGTCAGCGTTTTGCCCTTGTACCAAGTACCAACATAATTAGTTGTTTTGGTGTTAGCAATGAAGATTCCCAAGCAACAGGTGATCAACCCTAGGCTAGCTAGTTTCATTTATGACTTATCACGTAACCAACACTGTATTTTTACTGTCCCTTAACATAATAATTAACAATTTGTTCTTTTGATTTATTTGACAAATGATAAGTTTCTTGGGTTGTTTCGTTGCCTTTTATCTCTATAGAAGTCAGAGTATCCTCAATTGAATTTACTTGCAGGTACACAGCAGGAGTTACCAGAACTTGGGTAATCTGTCCCATCACAGTTTCGCGGCTGTCTTGCCTGGTGACTCAGTTGCAGGAATTGTCGTTGCAAATGGAATTATAAATTTCTTGAACATCTACAACTCGTTGCTGGTTGCCAGGCTTGTTTTAACCTGGTTCCCAAATGCTCCTCCTGCCATTGTCAGTCCCCTCAGGTATGCTTTAAAGTTTAAAATATTTGTGATTCAAATGACCTGCTATATATTCAAATGAAAGAATTGGCAATATCGCATACTGCCATATATGCAAACGAAAGAATTGATAAATTTTTAAACAGTGATTCAAAACTTAGTCCTCAAGGCTCAAGTGTCCAAAACGCATCATCCTTATCTTAATTCAAAAACAGATATGGAAAGGGGAAAAGAAAAAACACTAATAAATAAATTTCTATTAGTTGCCAGTAGCTCGAATGCGTTTATCCTCATTTTCATTTCACAAATGTTTTTTCTGTTATCTTATTTTACTTTTAAGACAGTATCAGTGTGTTTGGTCTTCTTGTGGCTTTGCGTTGAATTAATGAATCAGATTGTGTGATTAAGACTGACAGTGCTATATATATAATCCACTAGGACTTTATTCTAGTAGTAACAGTAATCCACTGGAATACCTGGGTAGATAATGTGTACTTCTTGCCCAGAAAAATTGGCAAGAATGTGAACTTATACAAGCAAATCAACTGCATCAGCTGAGCTTCATTGTCCTGCTTCTTCTTTTGTTATAACATTATGGGTCACCATCATTGAAAGTAGTCAGAAAAGCTCAGCTGTTATTCTTTTCAAGTGTTCTTTTTAAAATTTGAGCATTCATATAGGTGCTAAACTGTGGTTATTGTAGTTTTCTGAAGGAAAATATTTTGTTTGAAAATCCAATGATCCAGGATTTGATTACTTTTTTTTATTCATATATTATTTGAATTAAAACCACTTAGAGAACCTGATGTCTGTCAGCTAAGTATTCCAGAGTCATATTACTTAAATATATTTGTGGCCTAATTGCGTGTGAAGTGCATACATCGCTAAAAATGCCGTATTCCTTTTCAGCACTCTATGTGACCCATACTTGAATATATTCCGCGGGATTATTCCACCACTTGGAGGGACCCTGGATCTTTCGCCAATATTGGCATTTCTCGTTTTGAATGCCTTCACCAGCACTGCATCTGCACTTCCTGCTGAACTTCCATCGACAACTAGGAGAGCATCATCAGATACTCCACCTCATGCACCAGTTTTTAATCTTACAACATCACAAAAGAAATGGATGAGGAGACTTGTTGGAAACAAGTCAAAGACTGCTGATGGTGAAAGTTAAAGTTGGTTTCTGCTCATCATTAATGTATTCAGCAAATACTCGAGTAATAAGCATTCCCTGTAGACACTAGACTTTGACATTAAATATGTAAATCCACTGTTGTACTATAAAATTCAATTTATTTTTTCCTTTGAATCATATAGCTTTTCATCACTCTATGGTAAAAATGTCTGTTCAGTAGCTTCAACATCTAAAAAAGAGGAGACACAAAAGATCTTTGTTCTTGATACAAGTCCACAACATATTACTGAATACTCAATGATAGACATTCTATTTTCTCTTCCTTTTGAAACTAGATTATATTATGTCATTATCACGTGAAAATATGTTAGACGGAGGTGCAATATACGAACGTTTGCTTGCTCCGGTCAACCTAGTAGACGGAGGTGCAATATAGCTTCCATAGAAGGTAGCTAATATTCTGAAGGCTACAACACCATATTATTAGGCAAATACTGTAGGTTCCAGCATCATCCCAGCTCCTTTTGGTTATAACTTGTCTACTGAATGCACTGGGAATCTGGGTGCAGCCTACATAAGCTAACCAAAATAGTTTCATAAAGTGCAACTACAATAACTTTCCACTAATGCGCACCTAAGGGTGTGGCCTAACAACTTATGAAGTGCCTGAAAACTCTGCGAGGTCGGGATTCAAATCTCAACAAAAATAAAAAATGCTAGGCAATTTCTTCTCATCTGCCTAAGTCTTGGTCGGCATGCAGAGTTATCCGGTTCCCATGGAGGTAGGACATAGGATGTGTGGAATAGTTAAGGTGCTCGCAAGTGGGCCTTTGCACTGACCATTATAAAAGAAAATTTTCACTAATATTTTGTAGAAATAGAGAGCACTGCGAGAGTCTGATAGATTCCAGGTTTATGCGGCAGAATCAGATGCCAAATTCACAAACACCACTTGCATACATATCTAATTCGTTTTCCCCCTTTCCAATGCCTTTGTTCATATCCATACACCACACAACATTGATCAACAGAACCCGAAAGGAGCTGCCTTTATTACCTTATCTTCCAAAAGAATATGAACTTTTTCACTTTCTGGAAATATNCCCCCCCCCCCCCCCCATGTTTTTTTCTTAAACATATTAAAGGTTTAATGCAAAGATAGTGAGGGATGCGAATTCAAATCTATAAAGTCCCCCAATCCTTTGGCTAGATCACTAGAAAAAGAAGATTCTTACCAAACGGAAGAAAAGAGACTTTGAAGATTCTGGAAATTAAGACAATTTAATAACCAATACCCCTATCAAAAGCCTAGGTTGAGGAAGCATTGGTGACTAGAAAAACTATTTTTTAATGGAGCAGGAATCTTTAAGCAGGAGAGCCAGATTTCCTACATATGAAAGGAGGTTCTTGGCCGTAGGCATTGGACTTCTGGCTATCATCTCTCCTCTATACATTGACAGTAGAAAAAACACTACTGAACCCCACCTTGAAGAACAAACCATCAACTTCCTTCCCTATCTTCCACTTCTTTTCTTGATCACTGTTATCATGAGCATAAGTATTTCTCACCAATTGGCTCGGTTCTCATCGTATGATCACAGGCTTCTGGCCATAGGTCTTACACTTGTTGCCATAGTCTCACCTTTGTACGTCGACAGGAGAAAGGTAGTCGATCCAGAGCTTGAAGAGCAATCACTTAGCATCTCTTCTTACTTGCCATTGCTAATGTTGTTTCTCATCATTGCCATAGCTATGTCATGCTACTTGGACGGGAGCTTTACCAGGTTCGATCCTTACTGGATTCATAGGGTTGGTGGTTCTTCCACTGGGATTCTCATTCTTCTACTTGTTCTTGCATTTGTTTTGAAGTTTAAAGCTCTGTAGCATGAATAACAGAGGGTCTAAAGATATGTACCTTATATCCTTATGTTCAAGTGTTGTTCATGTGTGGTTTGAAAAGGGAGGAAAAAGAAAAGGAGAGTTTGGATTCAAGCATTAGAACATTGAAGTGAATACCAACTCAAAGACTTGATTTCACCATTGCAGTTCTTTACTGCAAGGAGATGAACAATCCTGAATTTGATGGTTGCAACATCCATTAGATCATTCAAGATTTCATAACCTGATTCGATAGTTTTTCAAGCACATAATACATTCAAAAGTGAGCACCAAGTAGATCATGATGACATGAAAGAATGACCATCCATTAATTATCAATAAGGAGATTGTTGTTACAGTAATCAACTCGGTGTATTCTATGTTCAGAAAGAAGCTAAAATGTTGAGAACAAGAGAGATGCTGCTATAAAAGCATATTTTGGCAACCATTTACATTTGTAGTTATCATGTATGACCTGTAAAGTAAAATCTATCTCAAAAATAAGGAAGAAGAGGCTGTTCCAAAGAAAAGATTAAAAAAGGCAATTTCTTTTTGTTCCAACGGGTGCTATTCTGTGAATGAGGAATCTCTAGACGTCAGTGGTGGTGAATACTTCAACAGAACTTCCACGCCATCAAACTTACTAATCTTATCTAATATCGGATTCACACTCAATCCAATGATCTGCACTACTGTGTTTGAGTGGCCATTGATGAACACATCTGTTATCTGCAAGAAAAAGCAAAATTTTGCAAAGTACTGAACACTCTGATTCTTAATATCTCATTCCAGTTTTACACTCAGCAAAACTTCAGAAAAAAGAGTCAAATATGACAATCACATTAAATCAGAAAAGATGAGATGACAATAAAAATGAAGAACACACGAGGGAACTGGATGAGGTAAGAAACAATGCATGACAAGTTTTGTTCATAGAACTACCACCTCTTTTTTAATCTGTTCTTTATCCCTTTCACTTGTGTAAGGTATATCAGATGTATCATGATTGCAAAAAGGGGCAACTGGCCAAAATTGATAAGATGCTAACTGGCTTCTACAAAAATGTTGATTAAGACATTTCGATTGTGGTCATGGAAGTCTAGATCACCGAGTATCCAACTACTTCTCTCTAAAAAGATTAGCTCAAAAAACATTTGGCACTTAAGCGGCAAAAAACAATAAGACCTCATGAAGGTAGCAACTCCAAAGAACTAGATAAAATCCCAATGTTATTAAAATTAGTCTAAATCCCAATATCATACTAGTGAAACAATTGCCACCATGATAAATGAGCGAGAAGCTGATACATGAAACTGATACTGCGCCTAGTTGTTTGAGTAATAATGACACAAGGATCAAACGTATCTCCGTGTCACTTTGTCAACCACATTATTTACAAGTGTTCGCTGTTACAGTTTATAAGGTCACAAAAAAGTAGAAAGGAAAAATGAGGCATTATATGAACCCGAGTAATTATTTTGAGATGTAGCTACTCATGGCTCCTAATCTCATGCAGCATAAGCTGGAGTTAAAACTCTACAAAGGAATCCTAACAAAATCGCATAAAGACTGAGATTTTACGAATCAACTAGTTGGAACAGAAACCCAGGCAGAAAGAGCAAATCAATTTATGAACTCAGAGAAGGTTGTGCCACCAATTGAATCCCTGAACCATTTCTTGTTATATTGTTATAGCAGTACAGTAGTGTATATTGCATGGATATGAGCCAACAAAATGATAATGTGTATGAAATAGGTAAACACTTAAAAATACCACAAATATTGAGTTGCACAGGTATACCTGTGTGCAGCCAAAGAGTTTGAGCAGCTTGAGCGACAAGCAGCTGTCTACAATCAGTCCTAGCTCTTCGTCAGTTATTCTACGACACCATGATAGGTCCAAATGCAGTAGCTTTCTTGAAATTTTGGCTAGTGAGAATGCAGTGTTGGTGCTAACCTGTCAAAGATCTCCACCAGTCACTAACAAAGCAAATAGTACCAAAAAGAAACCAGCACTTTTTTTTTAGGCCAAAAGGCAATCAATATGTCTTTTCCTGCTCTTTTACCAATTCCTAAAAGGAACTGCTCTCTCTCTCTACCTCTCTACAGAGATAATGATGCTATGATTATCTTATTCATTTATTATTTGATTAAGAGTCCAGGCTAACCTAACACAACCATATTGTAAGAGAAGACCACAGATGGGCAAAATGCTTGACCTCTAAGTTGCGCGGACTCTTCGATTTTGGTGCCGTCCCCGTCCCGATACGAGACGGGGACGGGAGCGGGATACGTTCCGGATTAGATCAACTGACTTCAGACGCTTTGACCGGAGTCCATCGACAAATTTGGGAGATAAATTGAGATTTTGATTTCTCAAATAAAAGAAAACACATTTAAGAGAATGAAAGAATAATATCCATCTTGAAGAATGAAAGAGTGAATTCTATAATATTCATGTAAGTTTTTCATAGAATATCTCTCAAAATTTACAATATTTTTATAGCTCTATTTTTTATTAGCCGAATCTCCGCACCCATATCCATATCCGGATCCGCACCCCCGAATCTTAAAATTTAGATTTGCCGAATCCGATACTCGGATCCGTCCCCGTATCGGATACCCGCACCCGAGTCCGAGCAACTTAGCTTGATCTATTAACAACCTCAATAAAAATATGCTACAGATCATGTCCTAGTTATAAGTTATAACTAAAAGTAGAGGGCAACTGCAACTCAAAGCAAATTACGAGCGAGATTATCATCGGACTCTTAAATTCAGGCCAATGGCTAAATTTTAGGTACAAAGTCAGGAATTACTAGAATCTACTCCGTAGCTCAACAACTGATAAGAAACTAGGAATAACACTGCGCTTAATAAGCATATTTGAGAGCAGAATAGATACTCCTGCATGATTATGTATACCTTAGAGCAATTATTCAGCGAAAGATCTTCCAAACACACTCCAGAAGCTTCCAGAAATGCAGCAATACCTTCATCACTAACATGCAAAGTGTATATTAGACTGAAACTTGCATAACAAAGAAAATCACAAAATGAAGCTGCCAACAGAATTTAGATCATCCGTACAAGCGGTGTTATTAAAGACGAAAAGCGCAAAAAAGCTCTAAGGTCCGTTGGGGCTTTAAGCGCAAAGCGCAAATAAAGCGTGGGCTTCAATGAAAAAAGGTGCAACGGCAGAAAAAGTAAAAATATGCATGTAGTCCAACACTAATAATTATGATCATGAACAACAAATATATGGACAAAGAAATTGAAAAAAAAAAATTCACGATAAAATGAAATATCAATTGTTTAAGGTCGCCTTTTTCAAGATTACACTCATTGGCAAGGAAAAGTATGCCTTAAAGTTTTGATGTGACACTAAAGCGCCCACAAAGCGACGCGAAGGGTTCAACGTGTTTTGAGCCTCGCTTCCGTGCTTAAACGCGCTTTAAGCGCGCCTTTGACAACAATGCGTACAAGAACTGCCACAATGCACCAAAATTACATTAAATGCTCTCATATGTCGGAAACAAACAGTACAGCTTCTGCTGGTACTTCAAGAAAATATAGCCAGCAACTCTTCAAGTAATCCATTGGATCAAATATCAGATATAACATTATCATGATGACACAATATATCACTTAGAATAGTCATCATAATACTAACTTTTTAAGATATACAGTCATGTGTCATGGAGTCAATTCACCGGGTATAACCATGATAACGGAGTGAATTACTAGTTCACTCATAGTTGATGTTACTGCAAAAGGGGGAGCAAATAAACCACAAAGTTCCATATAGAATCAAAATGGGAACAGATAAACCTTTTATCTTATATTGATGACTGAGGAATCCGCCTGGGGCAAATATTTAGGACCAACCGCAGCCCCCAAAACTCGCAGATAATGGGCCGCCCATCTACCCTTCTCCACTTACAATCACTCAACTTTTGCCGCTTGAAGTAAGCTCTTCACACTTATCTATTAAGTGGTAATTAATAAGGACACATAATATGGTCAACTTAATAACTAAGTCCAGGGACCTTTCACTTGGACCTCTGTCATACAATCATTCTCTTGGCCACTGAAAAAAGCTATGTGTCTCTCACTTTTCACCATTACATTGATCACAAGAAAGTCCAAAAGGAATTCATCAAAGTTAAACATAGGATAATAATGAGTTGTGCTCAACCTTAATTGCTTAACAGCAACCCCAACTTCCCAAAGGAGTGTCAGAACAAAGAACTAACTAGGTTAATTTCAATAGCAATGACAGCATGTAACACTGGCAAGGATTCCAGATGTCCGAAGGAGCATGTGTAAAATACCCCCCAAGATAGCACTACCTCTGTGCTGAAACCAATCTCTTTCTTCTCAGCAGTCAGCTCTCTATCTGAGTTTCACTACTTTAAAGGCTTAAGAGGTTTCTGACAATCATGATGCAAGTCAAACGCGCTGGGTAGACATGTTCAATATATCATGTCGACTACTTGTCTGCAGGACAATCTACGTATGTCCCACACAACACATGACTGCAGCAAGTCAAAGTATGGTAAATTTCAGGACACTGATTTCTTCCTGGTTTCCTTCCTTTAAGGTAAATTCCAATTTCTCTGAAGAGCTTTTAAAGATGCTTCTGATATCGAAAAAAGAAAGAAAAAACAACATGATCCACAAATATGTATTAAAGAAGTAAATTGATGGCCACAATACCAAAGTACTATTTCTTGTTTTGTTCTAAGCTTATCTGATATAGAAGTAACATCTAAAAGTTGCTACTCATATTTATTTTTATTACTTTTAGGAGTGTGGGGACAGAGAGAACTTGATTTGTGGTGACTGAGTAAAATGCTGCTGACAAAAGCTTAGTGAAAGAGCCATCACTATTTCATCAAATATAGCAGCATAACTGAACTTTCAAGAAGCAAACTGGATATCAGGACCAAACCTGAAACTATTACGGCAAAGTTTGAGTCTTCGAATTGATCGACAACCATTTGCAAGAAATTGTAGTCCCACATCTGTCAATTTCTTCAAGTTTGAAATGTTTAATGAATGCAAATTAGCACATGTATCTCCAATGAACTTCAGAGATTGATCTGTCAGATTCCTGCATCCAGAATAAATGAGGCAAAAGACTAAATTAAAATCCA